GGATCAACGAGGTTTTCATCTAGAACAATTTGCCTGCCCATGTCTCTAATTTGATCATGCATCCACAGGGTATTCTCCTGAGTGATTTTGATTAAGCATTTCTGCACAAGTACCGTGATAGCTATCTCACCCCTAAAACCACAACCTCTTAACACATCAATAACATCATCACGCTTCATTCCCATTTGGACAAACAAACAAGCAATATCAAGGAATATACTCTTCTCTTCTTCATCCAACCCATCAAAACTAATCTTCAATACATCCTGAAGATGCTGTGGCCGAATTTCACTCAGCTTCTTCAGAGCATCCTCCCATTCCTCTTCCCTCCTCTTACCAAACAAATACGAACCAAACACTTCCACAGCCAAAGGCATTCTTCCTGTCAGAGACACTATCTTCTCTGACAAATTCTCAAGATTTTCTGGCGGTTTATTTCTTCTCAGTGCATGGTAACTGAACAACTCTAGAGCTTCAGAAAGATTCAATTCCCTAACTTCATACAACTCGTTTACATGACTCTCGGGTAGAACTTGTGTGTCCCTTGTGGTGATTATAACACGGCTTCCATCGTTAAACCATTCCCTCTTACCAATCAAAGCATGAAGCTGCTTTACATCATCAACATCATCCAAGACCAACAAAACTCGATTCTCACTAACTCGTCCTTTGATAGCAGAAAGACCAACATTGACATCACTGATGGTAGGAGACCCTTCTCCAGGGAAAAGATCTTTAATGATTTTGCTCTGAAGGGAAACCAAACCATCATCACCTTTAGATGAAACTTGTCTGACACTGGAAATGAAGCAGCGATGCTCAAAACGGTTAACAAGGGCATTGAAAAGTGCCTTGGCAAGGGTGGTCTTACCAACCCCACCCATCCCATGCAACCCCAAAACCTTGACACCATTGGATTGAACTTCCAACATCCTCATCACCTTCTCAACACGTTCATCAAGACCTACTGCAAACTCGGGCACACCCAAAGGAGTATTACTCAACTCCTTCATAACCCTTTGCACCAAACGCCGAATCAGGTTATCTTCGTTACTAACACAAAAACAACAACAAACAAAAACATTAAAATAATAATAAGGA